CTCCCCCTGGCTCACGGGGTCCCGTACTTCGAGAAACCTGTGCGCCAGGGGGAGTGTAGGCAGTCTAGGGGGTGGGGGTGAGGGCAGCCACTTGATGCCCCCTTACTGGATGAGCGCCATGAGCTGATCTAAAAATGAATCGACAGCCGCGCCAGAACCAATCCATTCGCTAAGCCAATCTGTAATAAGCCAAAGCTTGCCACACAGAAATCATTGAAATAAGGCCTAAAAATAGAAAAAAAATTGAAAAAGGACAGTGAGGTTTGAGCGATTTCATTTTCATTTGCACTGCATCGGTTCTTCTGGATCGGTACTGAAATTTGCAGTATGCGTGACATTGGGAATGTACACGGTGTCGCGAGTGACACCGTTCGAGTGGAACCTGAACTTCTCGTGCTGCACGGCTCATCAACCTCATCCGGGTGCCGCCTTTGTGAACTCACCTGTGGAGCTTTCGAATAACTACAGCTTCTGGAATACATTATGGTACGTTTACGTATTGAAAGCCTTTTTTGAATCGAACGCCGTGAGAATGGCACACTGCTTCTCTGACTAGACTGAATTACTTTTTGAAAACGCAGTCGAAAAAAGTAAGCCCCGATGGAACAGCCTAGACCAGCGCTGGTAGTTCCTTACCGCAAAATTCCACATACACACACATTTGCACCTAGGCAGCCATCCCATTTACCCTAATTTGTATCTATGATAAAAGCTCTAACTCTGATGATACCTTCATAAGTGTATGCTTCTTAAGGTACGTAACCAGCACAATGCTCAAAGGAGGATGCGATTTTGGTCCTCGAGCTGTGTCAACGAGGCTACTAGGAGGTATAATTCGTCTTGTAACTCGGCATGTCAGTCTGTATGTCCCTATGTGTGTACCCTTTGTATGTGTCGGCAAGTAGCACGTCCCTGGAAGTCTTCACAACGCAAGTCGACGGCCTCCACAAAATGTAGTAGCTTTCTGCCATCCAATAAACACACCCTCGTCCAGATCACATGGTGCTGCAGTGGCAAGTGGAGGGCAGAGTAGGGGAGGGGAGGGAGAGAAAGCAAGGGCGAATCACATTAACACTAGAGTCCAAATGGTGCGGAGGATACCACGCTAGCACGACCATTATTGTGATGAGAACACTGTACAAGGCATTTTTTTCTGCGAATGCGCATCTCCTTCATGAGGTGTCGATTTCACAAGTTAAAGTGTGCAAAGTAGAAAGAAGGGTCCCGACCAGAGTCAAGGGAGGCGTCGAGAAAAATTTTGAAACACCCGCTCCCTCTCAGCGGCGGAAGCCCATGAAACGATTCTCTTCAAAAGGCGAAATATGAAATTTGTGGAAAAAATACGGCCCCTCCTATCCCTTTGTCGACCTGGACAGGACTCCTCACCGTATGCTTGACACCCCGTCGCGGTCGCCATAAGGCAGAAAGTGGTGCGGTATGAGCGAGGGACTTTCTATCATTCTGAATATCTTGCGCAATTTGGACTACATTTTGTTGTCAGCCTTACCTGAATCCAGGGAGTAATAGTAAAAGTCTGGTCCCGAGGTTCTGCCGCTGGTTCAATGATCTCTGATTTAACCGAGAATTTCCCTCGTAAGACCAGGACAAAATATGTTTCTGCATAAATGTAGGTGAAGTTCTATCGAATTAGGAGAATACATTCTTGGAGCTTGTAGGACCTATCCATTATTCATTTGTTCCTTCTATCCCTCGGAGAGGATTTTCATATAGGTAGTTTAAGGAACATGGTGGGTGTTCACGCTGGTGATCATCAGTGCATACACTGCAAATCTGGCTGCAGTTCTCACTGTTTCGCGGCCATTCATCCCAATCAAAAACCTGGACGATTTGGCTAATCAGACAACCATCTCGTACGTACCATCAAATCACAAACACGACGGCAGCACTATGACAATTTTTTAGGCAAGTCACCATCGACTACCCCCCCCACTCCCCCCCCCGCCAACACGCCCCCTGCCGCCCCTTGCGCAGTTTCTGTCACACTCGCCCCAGCGATCACGATTGGAGTACGGAGCATACGCTCTCCCATCATTTTGAAAAACGCCGAGGGGTTCCAGAGTCAACCCTGCGTTGCGCAGTTCGCAACGGCACGTTGAGAGATCCTCAACGCACGCTGTATGGGCGGAGACGCAGACGGCTCGAGCATGCGAGTGTGAATGTTCGCGCGAGAGAACGTGTCTAATCGGGCGAAACTGCGCAACGTGGCCGTTGAGAACTGCGCAACGCAGGGTTGACTCTGCTGGGCGAAGCTCTGAATGAATGGGAGAATACGTTCTCTTCAAGAGCTACAAGTCTTGGTTAAACTCCGCCTTACACCTTGAGGGCAAGACCGCGGAATTACGGTCGAAATTAGGCCCTTCCTCAAGAAAAGTGCAGGGGTACGCAAACTGGGAGCACGTTCACAGATGCGGGATGATTTGACTATGACGAAATCCTAGGACACAGCTTTGGCCCCGCCCAATACCACTGGTCCCGCCCACAGACGAATGCTATTTGGCCCTGGAGAGTGGCACTTTTTTCGTCCTTGACGACGGTTTCTTTCCTTTTTCTCATTACTGACTTTACACCTTACATTACCACTGCCATTTTGGAAGTGTAATAATACATCAGTTTGAATCGCGGACTGTGCCTTTAAGTTTTCATATACGGTTGAAAGCAAATGGTGAAAGCAAAAAAGTGTAAATGACAGATGGAAAAGCCATTATGCAAAACCCCTCACAAATAAGAAATTTTTAGGAATCCAAAATTGGTTCTCATGCGAAGATGTGGGAGTACATGAAAAACCGTGATGTGTTTGTCAAGGACAACCGAGAAGGAGTTGAAAGAGTAGTGAGGTACCGTTTTGAGCAATCCGATATTTTTATTTGGAGAGAATTAAACTCAGAAAATTTTGCAATGAATTTCAAAATCAATTTCGCTCTAATTGTTGCACATTTAGGCGAAACTTTGCGTATTTGATGGAGTCAACATCGCTTGAGTTCGAAGTGTCACAAAACTGTAACCTCACTCAAATTGGTGGTGTGTTGGGTTCGAAAGGTTATGGCATTGCCTTACAGAAAAGTAAGTGATTTTCATCAAGATTTTCTTTATAATTACCTCAGAGGGTATAGAGTTACCGATCGCGGTAATTAAAACTTGAATTGACTGTGACACAAGTTTTCAACATATTACGTCGAAGAAACCGCCCCCCCCCCCGCTTCTCCAGCTAAAAATCAATTTAGTTGGTGGGGAAGAGTGAGCCCACGAGAATCACATGTGCGTTGTCACGGCTCGAAAGTGCGCGACAATGACGCTAGGTCTAACAAAGTCAGCTACGGCGATTAATCTTGGCGTTTGGACGAGTTACGTCGCGCACACCCCATGAAAGGCAGCATGGATTTCGGCGCCCCGCCCTTCCTTTTTTCAGGGAGAATCAACGTTTAGGGCTTCATCGACGGTTTTCTCTGCTTCTTTCTTCATTTTTAGTCAATTAGGTTTCCATAACCCCATTATAGACTGCTGTGACCCCAAAAATTAGGTCTGGGGGGCTTGCTTTAATTTTGCTTAGGCACCACCATTCTCCTTCATTTCATTCCCCTTTATTTTACCT